TGACCAGCTGGGATGAAACCCAGTCACTTGTCTTCAACACGTTCAACACGTGTCTTCCTTCCTTAAACTAGTTGATTTCTCAGGGCTTACCACATCCCAAGAGCAGTGCTAAGTGCCTCCTAAAGGTTAGTCCAGTATGCATTTAGCCCAGGGAGGAAGTCACTATTAATACCTTCTCCTGGCTGACCAAGAAAGGAGCATTGCGGAGTTGAGTACTTTGCCCAGGGAGCACATCCTAAGCCCTCACTCACTTCCCATTGTCCTGTCATCCCCAGGGTCACCAACCTCCTTCCACCTTCACCCTCCCCCCCAACTTTCAACCCTCAAATCCCTCAGCTCAGGGAGCGGCTCCATTTCCAACTAAATTGGAATATTTGCAAATCAATGCTAACTGCAAACTAAGAGCTATTGTTATTTTGATGAAAACTCCATGAGCTATATAACTTTTTCTCTCTTCTAGATTTTTGCTATAGTCAATGAATACACTTGCTGGAAAGAGAGAAGGAAAGTGAGATATCACTCACACCCACACCCACACACACACACACACACCAGTGGGGATGGCCACGCCAGCAGTCCCTTCTCCTCCATTCACCTCTGGGGACTTTGTGCGCACACACACACACACACACACCTGGAGTGTTTTTCAAGACACCCAATCCAGGACGTAAACCCAGAAGTTGACCATGTGGGACACAGTCCCTGAACCACCAGGCTAACTGCTGGCCCCATGAGCTGGGACTCTTAAGGAATGACTTTCTAACAATGTCTACACAAAGCTGGCAAGGCAGCCAGCTAAGGTGTCTTATCAAGTTGTTTCCCAGGATACCCTGTAAGGCTGGACTGACATAAAGGAGTCTGAGGCGGGAGAAGAGGGTGGACAGGCCTCTGGGGTGCAGGATTGCAGAGCACGGTGGTTCGGGAAAGGAGGACAAATGCGTTTTATGGCATTTCCCCACAGTTCCAGTGTAGCCGTAGAGCTAGTACAGAGTAGGTACTTAATAAACGCACATGGGCTCGGAGTGCGCCTCTGTAAGAAAGGGGCCTGTGTCAGGTCCCGCAGGAGAGGGCCCGGAGCGTCCAGGCCTAGCCCTGTCTCCTGCAGGGAGACTCGAACTGGCGGACTCGAATCCCAAACAGGGGGAAGTGGTGTGGTGGGTCGGCTGTCCAGGCTACCCTACCCCGCCTTTTCCCTTGGCCTGCCCAGTTCCTAGGGCAGACTGGATGACCAGAGGCGGTTCCCTTCCACCCGCCACCCCCCTCGCTCACCCCGCGGTCCCCGGCCGGGATCCTCCATAGCGTCTATGGTCCGGACGCCGCCCGGCGGCACAGGCGCCGCCTAATGAAGCCTCGCCCGCCGCCAGGTGTGCGCACAGGAGCGCACGAGGCCAGGGAGCCGCAGCCAGAGCGTGCGCCCCCTCACTCCCACCCCGACCCCTACCCCGGGGCCAGGGGCCAGCCTGCCCGGTGGATGCGCGGCGCTCCGGCCAGCTGTGAGGGCCTTAGGGCCGGCGCGAGGAGGGCCAGGTGCAGGTCTCCACGCAGCCCCTCCCTGGGGCGGGAGCTGCAGAGGGACGCTGGGGTGGAGGGTAGGGGTGGAAGGTAGGGGCGGCCAGAGGGCTGAGGACCCCGCGGAGGGCTAGGGCCCTCCTGAGCCTTCGGTGTAACCTGTGGAAGGCGATTTCTGGGTCCATTTATCAAGGGATCCCAAACACTGGTTGACAGCTTAGCATCTACTCACTGGGGTCTCTCCAAGCCTTGATTATTGAACCCCAAAGTCTGTGTAAGGATCTGAGGGTTCTTAGAAGGCAGCACTCACTAGACAGTGAAGAGTGAGCTGAAGGAGCCATGAGGGGAGGTGAGCTGGATGCGGTGCCGACTTCGCTGCCAGCGCACACGTGCACACACAGAAGGGGTGCCCACGGAACCCAGGACGAGGGCCCGGGCTAGCAGAGAGTGGGCCTTGATCTTCCCCCTATTTGATTCTGTTCTGTTCTCTGAGAAAGGAAGGGACTGTCTTGGGAAAGATCACACAGGATTGAACCTTTATGGTTTCTAGTTTATGCAATGTTTCTTGTCCTCTATGTTATTATTATTTATAAATGGAATTTAAACATTCTTATTGCCCTTCCACCAGTGAGCAGGGAGAGGAGAAGAGTCCCAGGGCTGATCAGAATGAAACAGGTGTTTGGAGCTGCTGGTGGTGGGGGTGTGGGCGGGGAGGTTCCTGAAAGAATCCAGGTGTTCTGCTTTTAGAATTCAAAAGACTCTGGACACCATGTGCTTTCATGCTCTAATCAGCTACTGGTACATTTTCCTGTGCCTTAATCTGCTTGGAAGGGCTTGACCTACACATGCAGACTTTAAAAAGGTATGAGAGCATTGCTATTTTTCTAGAATACAAAAAACGGATTACTTAACATGGCAGTATGACCAGAACTTGAGGACCTGACATTTCATTGTATTTCCAGAAGGCCAGTTCTCTCTGGTTAATGAGAGACTTAGAAACAGGGCCCCATTTGTTCTAGGGCAGGCGGGCCAGGTGTGGGGTTGCTCCCTACTTGCAAACGCAGGACCACTTGGTGGAGAAGTGCTTGCAAATGGAGCACATCGGTCCCCCTGGCCGTGTATCTGTAAGGCACCTTCTATGTGCCAGGCGGTGAGTTACAGGCATGCAGAGGGCTGCACGGAGGAGCAGGGTTCTCCCGGGCTAGAGTGGGGACTTCCTGGAGTGGGTGACACGTGTGCTGTGAGCTGCATAGTTTGGTGTCATGGTACTGTTACACATGGTGACCCTGCAGTGCCCCCACACCTGCCCCGTAAACCCCATGCTCCTGACATGGGATCAGACCATCCAAGGCCTGGTCCTTTCCTCGAAGCCTCTCTGTGTCTCATACGTGGATATTCCAGGGCTTTTTGTCTCTTTTGACTAAAGTTTTTTCAAAGAAGGTCTCTCAACCCCCCCGGATCAGAATCTCTTAGGGAATTTGTTTAAAATGGCCTCATCCCTGGAGATCATGTTTGGTATGTCTAGGGTGGGACCCGGTAATAACCATTTTTTTAAAAGTTTTATTTTATTTATTTATGTATCTATTTCGATTTGACCAGAGAAGGACAGAGTGAGTGAGCAAGTGAAAGACAGTGAGAAAGCAAGTCGCCAGGTCCAGGACTTGAACTGTGATCGGCCACGTGGGAGTCCAGCACCCTTAACCACTATGCCTCCTGTCGGCCCTGGCAATATCCATTTTAACATGCCCTTCACAGCTATCAGAGTTTGAGGTGCTTTTAGACTTTTCGAAAACCAAGTCAATTAAAATCATCCTGGGGCTGGGGGCAGGATGGAGGAAGGAGGGGCGGCTTGTGTGGGGAAAGGAAGTGACCTTGTCGTTTTTACCAAGGGGGTCTTCTGCAGTGAGAATCAGGTCATGATTAATTGGTTAATAGATTATCCTATTCATTAAATTAAAGATAATCATCCTCTCTCATCATTTCTGTTGCAGTTTCTCTCACAGACTGGTTGCCCTTTGCTTGGGTGAAGTTGAGCAAAGCAAAGACTCACATTGCCCATGGACTGGGTGGTGACCTACAAACTGGGAAAGACACACGGGCTAGTTGTGTAAAAGGATTGTGTAGGGACTCAGGGAATTGAGAATCTTGGCACTTTCTCAGACATATAATTGAATTTGTCGGGCTTCTGCTCTAAAATTAGAAAACTTTTTTTTTTTCCTTTTCTCAGTCTTGATCTTAGCTTACTGTTGTGTGACATTTGTTTTTATAACAAATTACATAGTTGGGTGTTTTTTTTCTTTATGTGGGAAATTTGACTTAGTGAGTACAAGGGAATTTTATCTAAGATATTTTGTAGATGAGGGATCAATAATTGTTCATTGACCAAAACTTGGTCACCCTTTCTAGGAGTTAGGGGGCAGGAGGAGAAGATGG